TTTTCTAATATTTTTTGGGGGGTACTTGTGTATGACTGGTAATTTTGGCCCTAAGGGGTGAAGATGAGTGATGAGAGGGTGGTTTAGGGTTGATCAACTGTATTTGAATATAATCAGCTGAGAGTTGTATTAGTGAGAGTTGTAAAACGTTGGGAGTTGGTATTATGAATCTTTGCAGTATCATCAAGTGATTCATTCAAACTGGGTAAAAACTAATGATTTTGATACTTTTGAGGTAAGCTGATTTGGTTTGTTGTACCTAATGAACACCCACATGCAAATGACTCATCACTATTAGTATTTGCAGTTCCAGTTTCTCTGTCTATTGACTGTTTCTCGTTCTTTTCCTATGTTGTTAACTCCTCTGGAATTTCACTTTTTTTCAAAAAATAAAACCAAAAAGGAAAAATAAAAAAAAACCAAGAGTTAGAAATAAGAGTTTGGATATCAATATATACTAGTACAATACCCGTGTACAACACGGGTGTTGAGTTAAGAAATATATGATAAAAGTTATTTATGTCTGATACCAAAACCTAACTCCAGAGCAAAATAATGTAAAAACATCACGAAGCATAGATTTTCGTTATGTCAGCATCCGAAGCGTGAGAATCTGCCACTTAGGCTCAACACGTTTTGAATTAAAATATAGGGAGGGATATATAGTCAAAACGAGTTTTTTTTTTTTTTGTTAACCAAAGTTAATTTTTAAAAAAGTGATATAGTTCGTTGTTACTAGAATTTTGAGTTTACATTAAAATAATACAAAAAAAATAAAGTTGATTTGATGTAAAAACAGGAGAGATATGATGTGAAGTGACGGTTAGGTAAAATTACGTGATTGAATGAATAGTAAATTGAAGTTAATGTTATATGTAAAAATGGTTGGTTGATAATCCACGTCATTTTCTCCCAGCCAATTTGCCAAATTTCTTCATCTTCTTCAAAGAACTTATAATTGCATTAAGGCATAATAAGAAACTTACAGGATTCAGAACTGTTTATTGTTTACAATCATTCCATCTCAAAGGATGACACCAATCACCTATACAAATATTAACTTTAGGTGAAAAAGATCCTCGCTGCAAACTTATTCGCAATTTAACTTTGGCAAGTGTTCTTTTGTCGAAAACAATAATCTGTGTTGCTAACGTGTAGGGATGGTAACCTGAAAACGTGACGCTATATCTTTTTTACTTGGACCGGTACACCTTGCTTCTCACCAGATTCGAGCATTGCAGCCAGAACAGCAACATCTCGAGCGCCTTCAAGAAAAGCAAGCCGGGGCTCGACTTGAAAGCTGCCATCATTCTGCCAAAGAAGCCAAAAGAAATGAAGGATATAATATATTTCCAACATGTACCATACCCATATTAATACCATGATGAACAAAAGTATAAGTTTGGGTATGTAATTTGTACAGATTCATATTTAAGAAGGAAAAAAATGGAAAGCAAAGTAAGAAGTGAGATGTGAAACAAAGCAAAAAATAGTTTACAGAAACAAACTTCAAGGGTTTATATATAATTATTCTAACGGGTGTTTCTTAATTTTTATTTATTTATTAATCTTTGTAATTACTCTTAACCTAATTAGCCCACTCAATTACATACATCATTCCATTGTTCTTAACAGCAGATAATCTCAAGGTGGAAACAAAGAAGGAGAAAGCAAGTTGGTCATTTCTAATCATGAATTACCTTAATGGTTGCCGGTGATATATCTGAAAGAAAGGCTTTAAGCTCCTCAGTCACACCACTGAAAGGATAAAACCAGCTTTTGCTTTGTCCATCAGCCGTAAAGTGAACCACCTAAAATCGTATCAAGAGCCAACAAGCTGTAAGATCCAATAATAAATAGCTCAACTCATCATTGGAGATTTCAATCCAATATAATATAATACCGTGTATCCGTGCTTCCCATCTTTACTTCCTCGCTCAACTTGTAGTGTCCCCTTCAAGCCCACAACTCTCCACAGAATCTACAGCTCAACAATGCATATATGTTGTAAGTGTCCATGCAGGAAGCTAATGTTGTCACATAGAGGGCATGCAAGTTATTAACAAAAAAGTAGTGACTACATAATCCATACCTTTGGAGATTTAGAGGATACCACCATCACGAAAACTCCTGAACTCCCGTTTTCCAGTTGACTAAAGGACAATAAATAAATAAATAAATAAATAAATAAATAAACACTAAGCAGCAAGAAAAAAACTATAAATTGTCTTTAGAGCATCTGAATGCATAAAACCTTACATTGTTGAGGAGATGTGATCAGGTGGAGGCAAAGTTGAGTCAATGTGAGACGTAACAGCTGACACTGAAGTTATTTCACATCCAGCCAGCTTTCCATAGGCACGAAAATATTAGCATAGAGAATGCATACGTGATTCTGGGCGTAATAATATGTGTGTTAACACACACGTGCATGCATAAAAACATAAAGAAAGAAAGAGAAAACCAAAAAAAGTTCCAGGTGATGCTTATAGGTTCAGTTCAATTCATTGAACGGATTTTAGCCCATACTGGAAGGACATGATACAGGTTTATGCTACTAGAACTGGACATTTTTCTCTTTTCTAAATATTAACAAAATCTAAAAGTTATAATCTGCAGCAGACCTTCAGTTATGGAGACATCTAAGTTTTAAGTGGGTCTATGTAACTTTTTTAAGTACAAAAGAATAACTCATGTTTATTTCATCAGTGATAATAGCTGGAGATAAAGTGGGACACTATATAAATCAGGGATTTCGCATAATATCTGGTATGAGTGTAAACCGAAGGACTAATCCACTCAATTGTAAAAGAAACAGGTAAACTCACCATTCTTAAACCAGAAATGAAATGAACACCCATGTCTAAAATGAAACCACCCTGCCAAAAAAGGAATGTTTTTAGTCCAAAGGTATTAAAAATAAATAAATAAATAAACTTTGAAATTAATTGGCACTGTTGGCTGGTATGTAGAAAAAGCTTGTGTTGGGATGCAGTAACTGGTTAAGTGGGTAAATAGCAATTTAACACTCACAGTTAAGGAATGCCTCCATGAAGTTGAATAGTATGGATTTGAGCTGTTCATTGATCCTTCAATAATCACATGTATATTAATAATATCTCCAATTTCAGACATCCGTTTTCTGCCCTGCATAGCCCGGTTATCAATGAAGGGAGCCTACGAAAACATAATCATTTTAACCAACAACAATGACAATGCACCTCCACAAAAGCGGGTTCAAACCGATAGTTTTCAGCCACTGCCCAAATTGGTGCTGGCTTGAGAGAGTTGTAGCCCGAGATTGCTTTTTCGAGTTCACTACCAGCTGAATTGGTGAACCAAAATAATCAACTTTTTTTGGATAGTTCTATATTGAACATGTGATATGTCATATAAAAGACCTGAGTGTCTTACTTACAAGCTACAGCCGGTTTCTCTTCACGACCAGAAATCAGGAAAAAGCACAGAGCATATGCATGAAAACATACAGTGAGTTACCACATATAACCAATTAGTTTAAAAGCAATTTAATTTTTAAGGAACATTTAATACTTAATAATCATCACCTTGAAGGACATGTTTTCCTCCCTTCAGCAACCTCAGTGACATATCAACCTGAGCGAAATGGTTCTCTAGTGAAATAGGGCACAACTCACAAGAAATTTATGGTTGAAGTAAAAAACTATATCATAAAAAGTACTTTAAAGTACAAGACAAATACGACTAGGATATCCAAAGTTAGAAATAGAACATTATTATGGTTTTGGATGTTTGTAATCTGGTTGCATCAAGAATTTCTACAGCTACTTAATTTAAGTACTGAAATGAAATATACTAGAAAAACCACACATTAAACCTGTATCTCACCCAATTAAAAACCATAAACGCATCAATTATAAAAAAAAAAATTACACAGGGAAGATCTAAAGCCATGCTACATTACTTGAAAGTTGGAAATCTAGTTAGGCGTTATACAAACTACAAAGTGTACAAGTATGATTGTTCAATACGACCCTGCTTACATCATATCCATCTGTAAACCTGCCTTAACCTCTAGAAGTGAGTCACCTAGCCGAAGGATGCTTACTTATTGATTTCCGATAGGAGATAAAATCAACGATTTTTCAACTCATGCAGAAGCTTAAACTTGAGAAAGAAAACTAAAACTAGCAAAACTAACTCTTCACAGCAAACATTTCTCAACAACTCAGGGACAACTTTTCCATAACAGATTGTCTTTATCCGGCTAAAAATTTCTATATCATAACACATAAGTATGCTGCACAAAACGAAAAAGAGAGGACATTTACCTGCGTCTGGCCGGCAAGGGCCACGACCACACCAGTAATGGAAGCATCTCGAATAATCTCGTCAAGTCCTTCCTCTCCCCACTTACATTCGACATCCTGGAAAAACTTCTTAGCAATCTCAGCAGCACCTCTGGCTGATTCCTATACATGACACACCTCTTAAGCCAAAAAAAAAAAAAAAAAAAAATGCAAGCAGTGTGAATTAAAAACAGTGTACTCAATTTTGAATTCATGTAATCTCCCATGGATATCCTTAGATGAGCAGCTCAAGAGTAAATCCAAAATTCTTATGAATCCCAGCAAAATATGCTACAAAACAAAAGGGGAAAATGAAACACAACTAGAACACAACCCACGAACAAAGAAAAAGCAAGCGCAATCTCTAATTAGTAAAGAAAAATGAGTGGGGAATGTGATAATTTGCCTGGGTGCGGCTCCAAATGGCTCTGAGAACGAATAGGCCGGATAGTTCAGCCAGCCGGGGAATGTAAGTACTTCGAACAAAGATGCCGGCACCAAGTATGGCGATCTGCGGTGGCTTATCCGCCATCGATCTTTATTTTTTCTTCAGACGGTTAACAATGGTGATGGATGGGCTCCTGGATCTTGGTCTCAGACTATGCTTTGTAGTATTTTTATTTTATTCATCCGTCTCACTTATTTGCTGTATATTTTATTTCAGCTGAAATGTTTAATTTAAATAAAAAATAATAAGCTTTAACATCTATAAATAGCTATTTATTTAATAGCTATTTTATTAACTACTCTTTTCTGTTTTTAGATTATAATAAATTGTAACCCGGATTTACCGGTTTTTTAACCGGACCCTTAACCCTTAAGGGCCGGTTCCGGGTCTTCATTTTCTTTTTTGACCCGTAGGGCTGTTCAATTAACCGCCTGCTCGGGTCAATTCAGTTGAACGAACCTTGGATATAGCCGGGCCAGTTTCGGGCCCAACATTTGAGGTCCACCGACCGACATCCAGGCCTGGCCGAGTTGAGAACCAGCCCGGCCTTTGGGCACGTCTATACTCGTCATTACAACCCTCTTGGCTTTTTATCACTCTACTAAATACAATACTGCAAAGGAGTAATGCTATAGGTACATAATATTGTACATAAGGGTGTATATAATACTCACATTGGGTGAAACCCATCAAAAATAAAAAAATCAAGTGGACCCCACATATCATGTAAGTATTACGTATACCTCTATGTACATTTATTTTGTACTTACTAGCATTTTTCACTGTATATTATGTAAAGAAGCGTTATACTAACAATTTAACCATAACTACAAAATCATAGCTTACCATTTACTCAAACTAATATCAAGACAACTCATTTCAATTATCTTAATCTCAACAGTCCCCAGATAATACAGAAACTGTCACTTGCCGATTCATACAAAATTCATATCCTAAATGATGAGAAAAATGTTACTACATTGTCCATCATGCTTCTATACTGTGATTTTACAGTATTTTTGGTAAATAACTAATGAACAAATCTAAAGACAAACACGGGGCTGTAGAAGTCGGTGAACTTGTATTCAGCTTCGAGTGGTGGAATGAATATGTCTTCCCTGGGTTCCTCGTTTACGCCCGTCTGTGTTGCATATTCCAGTGCCATCTCATAGTCGACCTGCAATATAATTTCCCAAAAAGAGGTTTAATAAACAAAATTAATAAAAAAAAGGAAAATATTTTTGGGAACGCGTAATGGGTAGCAAAGAAGTTTTTATTTTCATAACAGTGAAATAAGATGGATGAATTGCAAAGGTTTGTCCTCTTAAAGGTGAAATAAATATCTTCAAGCTGAAGCCCAGGCAAGTTTAGTTGAATCTGATAAATATGCTGAAGTTTGTTTTTCTCGTGTGTGTGTGTTTGTGTAAGTGAGCTAGTGATGGGCCAAATTCACCATAAGTGGCAATAAAACTGAAAAAAAAAGTCACCTGTTCAACGTGTTGAGCGAGCTTTTCGCGCAGTGTTTCTTCTGTAACTATCTTATCCGAAACTTGTTTGAGTAATTCGGCATCCGCCCCTTCACATCGCCTTTTCTTTGAAGCATGAGCTCGTGCCACCTCTTTTAATACCTCGTATATAGCACCTGTGGCGTTTGGGATGTACCTGAAAATGGTAGAATTTTTAACCTGAGAAAAATTTGACACGCACTATATCACACATAGTGAGACCAAAAAAATGATGAATACTTGCTCAAACTTCGCTTCCTCTCCTGCTGCTCACGAGCCTGTATTCTTTTCACGATCTTGGATTTTAGTTGAGAGCAGCACTGCTGAATAGCCGCCTGATAAAAGAAAAAAAAAATCTTTCAGGCCACCCAAAAAGTTACCGTTTTAGGGTAAGTAGTTTATCTATGTTTGTACCTTGACGGCAGAAGCTATTTCACTGATGTCATCACCAATGTACTCCTTTCCAGTTCCTTTAAAAGGTATTTTGGTGCTCACGATGCTCACAAAGACACCAATCTTATCTTGTGTTTGGTTGATCTTGTAATTGCTCCAGCTGAAAGATGACAGCCAGTATTTACAGACACGTCATTTTCTAGGTTCAGATTTTTCGTCTTTTAAAAACTTGCGACAAGCAATTGCAAATTAGATTAAATAATAGAATTATGAAAATAACTAAAAACAGTTACTAGTTCAAGAAGCAAAACATAGCATTTTCTGTGTATCATTTGCCAGGACAATTGTACTGGACTTTTGGGAGTTTCTGTATCATTTCACAGATAACTTCTGTGGAAAATACTTAAAAAATATATATATATATATTAATCTCATGAAAACAGTAGGTAACAGAAGATATAGAGGATTTATTGTACTTGATTCTCTTTGCAGCAGTTCTAGTGACAACATCAGCACCTTGCTCGAATAGAAGTGGTATCCGGTTAGCAAATCGGAACACATTTAGACCCTAACATCCAGAACATATGTATAAAAGAAAAGTCAGATACTGGATGGGCAAGTGAAACAAAATGATGAGCCACTTTTTCATAAACAATTACACAAAGATATGCTACCTACAATTACCCTTACAGAAAAGTAAAATGTTGGAAGTTACATTAAAGTCATATCCATTGGATGTAACATAACATGAAATATGAAAATCCAAGCATGTACAAGAAAAATGTGAAAAAATTATAAATAAATAGTGATCACATAAAAGTAACACAAGCCATGAGTCAATGTCGGTGATTGAGGTCCGGTCTAAACTTTTGCTTTCTTGATGAGTTGGGAGTATTGAAGACAAAAGGAAAGTAAAGAGGATAGGGGTAATGAGGGAAAAAAGATATGTAACCGAAGTGATAATGAATAACCAGTACCATAAGAGATTCGACCAGCGATTTGCTTATTGCCTCTAATAACCTAAAACACCAGAGCTTCAACCTACTATACCACAGAACGAACACAGACCAAATTTACTCACTTGTTTAACATCTTTTCCACCCAAACTAAGCCCTGCTTCCACAATGAAAGGGTGGCCTTCAAATACTTGAGGACTGCATGAGACAGATGACAGTCACAAGTTTGCCCTTTTTAATTATAATAAAATGTCAAACATAATGTAGGTAATATAAGTAATGTATTCCACATTACCTTCCTGAGTAAGTAGCAACCATATCTGGATGAAGCTCCTTTATAATCCCTAAACGTAAATTGTACTCTCCAGCAGGGCTAAGACACTGCCAATTGCATCAAATTATTAAGTAAAATAAACAACTGCACGAAGTCAATAGAAACCAGTGATAAACTCGACAAACACTAGCAACAATGGTGAAAAGAAATAAATAAACATATATATATATTGACTGGGAAGCACAAGACAAATGATTAAGGGCTTGATTGTTTATGAGTTAATTTACTCACTTTTATTTCAACTCAAAATTTAACTCAACTTTAACTCAATCCCACTATCTTTAATATTATTCATATAATTACATAATACAAACCAATCATTCTTCCACATCACATCAACTTTAATTCACTATTCATCCACTCACATAATTTTAACTACCTATCATTTCCAATCATTTATCTCTTCCTTTTACATCAAATCAATTTTAATCATTTTATTTTAAATATTATTTTAATACATTTCTAAAATTCCACTAACAACTAATCATACCACATTTTTCAAATTAACTATGGTTAACCAAAATAACTCATTTTGAACAAATTATTTCATAAACAATCAAGCCCTATGTATGCAAATTGTAAAAAAGTAGAAACTTACATCACCACTTGGATCATCAAACTTTGCTTGGCGGAATAATTGATGGATGCGGACAATTTGCTGAGACGTTAGAGATTTAACAGGCATTTTGGGGCTAAAATCAGGACCCATTTCCCCTATAAAAACATAGACCTCTAATAAATAGGACCTCTAATAAACAGGAAACTATTTTGTGTACATGCAGTATTGAACAATAAATTTATGCTACAAAGTTTCACCCACTGAGAAAGTGTTTGCATCTGGTAATTAAGTTAAGGACTAAGGAGGAATAAATTGTCTTTTACAGTTCCTTCCTACCACTTCTAAACATGAATCACAGGTCACTGGTGTCTCATCATGTCAAGCTTTAATATACTTTATATTATTATATCAACAAAAAACATCAAATATCTTCCTGATAATGACGCAATCACTTCTGCATTAGGTTTTACACAGTATTTTCTCAAAATAAACAATCAGTTGCATATCTTACCAATCAAACGCTCCGCATGGGACTTCCCAACATTCACAAATTCATGTTGGAGAAATTGCAGAAGATTTTGCTTCGACGTCTCGGCAATAAGTCTTTTTATCAATAGCAAATCAACAGCAGATGGATGATACTTAGTTTCAAGGGGAGCTGGAGGCATTATATCCGTCCTCCTAGCAAATCTCACCGTGACATTTTTACTGCAACGTTAAATCCAGAGAACTGTGTTATCGTTAATTTATATAATGGTTACACAATGAAGAAAGGAAATTAAGAGAGTGAGCAAGTACTCTGGAGATTCAGAAAGGAACTTGAAAAGAAACTGAGCATATGGAGTGATGACAGCCATTTGACGCATGTAATGCAATATTTTGGACTGCATAATAAATGAAGGAATCAGTACAACCATAAGAAAATAGGATCCAGGTCAAATTTTATTTACAGAGCCGTACACGATAAGTTGTCCAGTTGCCCTCAATTACTATCTGGATTTCAGCTCCATGCCATCGTTCCTCATTGTCTCTTTTCTCATGTACATGAATATGAGGGACATTCCTTGAAATAATAAATTGCACCAGTTCATTTCCCCACGACCAATGAAAAGAAAAAAACCAATAAGATTCTACCGTGCGACGAGGCTTAATTTGCCATACCTATGAATATCTATATCTAATCTGCAAAACGATGAATACTTTTGGCCATTCATTGATGAAAGGATCTCAATAGGCAACCCAGTGCTCATTTTGGACCAGATAAGTGCCTGCATGATGGGAAGAGTTTTCAACCTTACAAGATTATGCAATCAATTCCACCAAGAAAAAACAGATAGTAATTTGGTAGTAAAACTATCAAGAGACAGTATCATCACAAGACAAATAATTAAATGCCAAAATTTCCCAAATTATTTTGGGGCCCCACCATCTTTGCACCAAGTCCAAATTTACCACGCGTCTGCTTTAAGCCATACTTAGTTCCAGAGAGAACTGCACGAATGAGTCTCTTAGAAAAACAAAAAATATAATAAAGAGAAAAATTACAATTTAATACATACTCTGGGACAGAAAATTGATCCTAATAAATATAACCTAGAATGTGTGCGTTTTGTGTGGTAGTGTGCATAGCAAAGTCAGACTTAAACCTCGTCCGAACATATTTGGAATATCATCATGTGCCATTCCTCTTCCATTATCCTATATCAAAGAGCAAAGTTATTCGTAAAGAAATGCATAACACTCTTCTATGTTCAAAGGTTTGAATAATTATAAATCAGCCAATGCTTTTGAAAAAGGCAAAGGGAGATACATTTTCAATCAACTGAGGGAACTGTGAGAACTGTTTTGGCAAATTTCAATCTTGATGACAAATAAGAAGATTGACTGAGTGATTTGCACCTTACAAGTAACCCTATAATATGAAGCCTCACGACTCTTTGTGGGCTTTGGAGCTGTTGTTGCTTTGCCTTTCTTCCCAAGAGCTGCATTCTTTGCCTGAGCTTCTTGAAGACGAGCTTCCTTGGCAAGTCTTTTCTGAGAGAAAAGAATTTAATACAATCCTCAGACAACCACCTCATACCACTTGTTCACCTACCGACTCTTGTAAGCACTGCTACACATTAATCATTAACTAATTTGACCATGTTTAGACTCGTAGAACGTGATCTAGTAGCACTGCACCTCACGGGCCTTGGCTGACTCAAAATCATCATAGAGCTCTGCATCAACACGTTCATGGTCAGCAAGACCAATCATTGAATTGAATTTGCTCCTCCCAATCTCTTCACTAGAGTGATCAACCATTACAGCACCAAGTAAGAAATGGATGATCCGTAATTGACTGTAAGATGTAAATTCCATATAGATATAGCTCAAAAATATACCTACTTACACTTACATTGTTATTTCTATGACTGGAAGTTCAGAGATTGACTCAGCTGAATCAAGTGCATTTTCAACAAGCTCTCTAACTGTAGTATACAAACATTTTCCTGGCTGAGAAAAATAAAATCAAAAGATATATAAATGAATCTCGAACTTAACCGTGAACTTCTGTCCCTAAAATATTTCACAGCGTACAAAATTGAACTGGATGCCATTTTCATGTTAATTGCCTTAAGAAAATTCACATTTCTTTTTGGTAAGTTGATGATATAAGCTAAAACCCAAATTTTAGATGATGAATCTCAGATTTCCATTTTCCCACTCTGAGTGCATAGCAATTTCAACGGAGAGATTCAAGTTATATCTAATTAAAGGGGTCCTTAATCTCCTCAAATCAGCATGATGCCAGGTAAATCTTCGTCTTCTTTCCAAGTCACCATTCATCGCCACAGGCTTTTAAGAAACATTATGTTGGCTACACATTAATCTGAAAATGAGGCCGTCTCAACCGGACCGTAGGCGGGTTGGATGTATTTTTAGAAAACTTGTCCATTCATGTAATTTATACAAGTAATGAAAACACAGTCTCACAAATTCGACCCCAACAACCATCAATACCATACATTTCAAGGTTTTGCCAAACCATCAACCATTGACCAGGAGAAGAGACCCGGCCGATACCAATGTTCGACCGTAATTATGTTCAGCACTGAGAGGTCTAATTACATATACAAATCCAACTTTTGAGAGACAAGTTATGAAATCAAACACAAAGATTAGAATCTCACATTGTCAAAACCAGCTATATTCTTGTTATCCGCGAAGAACTCCGCAGGAGATTCTGCAGAAGCAAGAAACACGACAAGGACTCAACAAAAGCCCAAACAGATTACATGACAATTGATCGAGCCAACACACACACACAGAGAATTACGTAATTGAGCTCGGATTTAGGGGGCAAAACGTACTCTGTTTGAGAAGCTGGGCATCCTTAGGGTTTCTGGGTTTTTTCGAGTTTGACTTCTTCATTTCAGCTGGGCTCTCACTGCTTCCTCCTCCAGCCATGGTCGCCCAAATGCAAATTTGCTCGCGCGCGCACAGCTTCACTGTAAATCTCAGGCTATTTGGTCTCCTTTAATGTATTACAAAAATAGTATAGGGGGCTGATGGGCCGTAATATAGGCCAAGTAGTCTACAGTTCTTCATTATTGGGCCTTAGCTGTAGCTCAAGCTATTTATCCAGTGCATATGTAACGGTGGTCATGGACCTTATCTTTGAGAAAATTACTCCCCTTTTGATGATTTGATAAATAATATTAAAATTACGACATGCTAAACTTGTAACATGTAGGTAAATTAGGCACGGATTTTAAAGTTTAACAAGTTAATGTCATGTTTTGGTTAAATGAAAAAAGTTGTCCACATTTACCACTCGACACAGATTATAGGCACAAAATGCAATTTTAACATTATTATTGCCACTTACTAATAGGCATGTAAAAGGAAAGAATAATTAGCTTTTTTTATTTTTAATAAAAGTTATGGAAATAAATTAGTTAAAAACAAAATTAAAAGACCAGATTTTGTTTTTAGTAATTCAGATTTTTCTTTCAGATTAAATGTTCTCGACCTATAAGTGCCTTTCAAATCTATCTGCTGATGAGATTCGGTAACATGTAGGTAAATTAGGTACGAATTCCAAGTTTTAATAAGTTAATGTCCTGTTTTGCTAAATAAAAATAGTTGTCCACATTTGCCACTCGACACTAATTACAGGCAAAAAAAAATGCAATATAACCATTATTATTGTCACTTACTAATAGGCTTATAAAAGGAAGGAATAATTAGCTTTTTTTATTTTTAATAAAAATTATGGAAATAAATTAGTTAAAAAAAATTAAAAGACCACTGTCGAAATTTATTTTAGTAATTCAGATTTTTCTTTTCAAATTATATGTTCCCGACCTATCGGTGCCTTTCAAATATATCTTCTTTGAACCTCCCAATAAACACTAAGACCATCTTTATCGGTGATCCAATATATTGGGTCACCCACAAGGTGACAAAAAAAAAAGTAAAAAAATAACAAAAATGCGTGACCCAAATCACATTGTGATCTTGGGTCACAACCGGTTGAGAAGGCCAAACATGAGACACATTTGATAAAACATGAAAGCCAGGTCATTGTATTTTTTAAATAAGATAAAAGATAATTTATATTATTAGAGGTTAATTTATATTTAAAATAACAATAAAATTATCAAAAATGTATTTTACTCTCTCTATATATAGAGACCACGTATGATATGTTTGGAACACAATTACAATTTTTCTATATGATAATGGTAATTTATGTGTGATTTTATTCGAAGTGTTTGTAACTTGTTTAATTGTTTTCAATATTTGGTTTCAATTTTTGTAATTTTAATATTTAATTGAGTTGGTAAATTTTTTTAATTATATGGTAAGATACTAATTTTTCGAAATCATTATGACGTTAACTAAAAATAAAATAAATATTTTAGGTTGTGTTAGGTTGGAGATAAAGATAAGTTAGGTTGTAAGATTTTATTTTTTTATCGTTAAATAAATTTATATTGATCGAAACTGAAAGTCATACAACCGGATCGGTGTTGTGTACAAATTATTCTTTTTACCGAGTACCGAATCGAAAGATTCGTTCCCCGGGTCGATCTCACGAGGAAGGCGGTTCAGAATTTAGTTATGATATTAATAACACATAGAAAGAAAATAAATCCTAAACACTCTAATCAAATAAGGGGGAATAATTATCAACTAAGAAATAATATAAAAACGATAATCTACCTAAAAATATAAACGAGACAAGATGGAGAAGCTAGGGAGTCGGGGATAGTTAATTCAAGTTCTAGCAAAGTCGGGCTATCAATTGTTCAGTTCGAGATTGACACTCTCGCTTATACATCTAGCGGTTCGCTCCAATAACTCTTCGTAACAAGGGATTGAACATAGACGAACAAGTTCGAGCATACGACACAGGCCAATTATCCCAATCCCAATAACTTTTCGTAACAAGGGACGAGTCATCGACAAGTGCGTATTTCAACCCAAAACATATAGACTATTCAGTTACGAAATTACCTACCTCATGTGAGCCTATTTCTACGACTTCTCCCCTTTCGGTTCTGAAAGCCGCTAAGTCAATTAGAAGGGTATTAATCGACTAATCACATAGAATCAACAAACCCTAACTCGACTAATCAACATTCAATTGTTACCAGTTGCAAGATCGAAGTGTCACTCTTCGATTATATCAATCAATCAAGCAAGAATATATCAATCCCTAATCAAAACAACTCACATAAGAACGAACAAAGTTAAGCCCGAGAGATGCGAATTAAACAAGAACAATCATTCCTCTATCCCTAGCGAAGAAATTAGCTACGTAACATGAATTCAACGCAAATAATTATTCCTCCCACATCAACCATTGTTCATGAATTAACAAAGAGAGAAACAACTTACAATAAATCTCAGTTCAATGTTTAATCCAAAATACAAGCTTGAATCCTCGAACAATAATAAAAAGAAGAAGAAAATTGGAGAGGAAAAATTAAAAGAGGGAGAAGAAAGGAACAAGAAGAAGAAGAAGAAGAAGGAAGAGTGTCGTGATTTTTCTTGGGACCTAGGGTTGGTACCCCGCGGTCGAGAGTTTTTTCTCTAATTTTTTTTCCGAACTTATATAAATAGTCGCAGGAGCTCGTGCCGTGGTGGGGTCTCGCGCCGCGAAGGAGCGCTGGTGTATCGCGCCGTGAAGACTTGACGCGGCGCGGAGCTGGGAATAACG